CAAAAGAATATTAGAGAAGCAGCCAAAACTGATTCTACGTTTCTATACCTTAAATATCGGGTTTGAAATCATATCATGCATATACGAAAAGCAATTTAAATCCAATGATAGTTTGCCCATTTGACGGCAACTTGCTGATCATTTTCCGAAGCGTTGGTATACCGTATGTTCACCATCATCCAAGCCAATAACAAAGGACCATTTTCAGGATTATGACACATACGTGTTACATCTTTGTCAAAACTAAGAAATACTATAAACTTTTGAGTTCATGTTAAGAACAATTTAACTACCATATTCAGATCTGCTGCCCGGATGAGGTAAATCTATCTAAATGTTCGCGAAGCTCTGGCATTTGCGGACTACGAGCAAAATAGCAATTTCCACTCAATTCAAAACATTTTGATATATAGATGCTACCGTGAGCGAAACCATGTTCATAGGCAGATTTATTTATAATCATGGCATCCTCCATGTCGTAGCCGGTATAAGAAATAACCGTCACAATTGCTTAAGCCAATTTAAGCACGGTGTACCCATCTGTCTGCTTAGCCATTCGACACTGACACATGTTACTATTAAATATGCAGAATGTAAAGCATTTAGAAAAATGAGCGAATATAGGAAAATAGTTACCGTGGCGATTGGTTGTAGTCTGGTAAAGGTATAAAACATCCACAAGGTCAAACATATTTTTTTTATAAAAAATAACTCACCCCCAAGTGAGCAATAGACCGTTGGTAACAACAGCGTTGTGATATTGTCCAGCTTCCAATACGGTAACATCCATGCCATCACGAGTGCGTACAAGGATTGGCTGCAGTGCCATTGAGTCCTAATGCCCAATATAACTAAATAATTAATAATTGTAGATAAGTATAAGTAAGGATCTGGTTTATTTTTCAATACACATACGCCATTATTGATTAATATCAATGTGTGTTGGCAACCACATCGCGAATCCATATATATTAGAGTATTGCCAAGTATGTCTCCATGAGATTTTTACAAAACTCTAAATTGTAAGTATGGCAATTGGATTTATAGTCACAGTATCAAATTTTGTCTAAAAAGCAATATATAAGATGTATTACGAAACTCTTTATGAAAAAAAAGAACGTACATGTATATACCACATATTCCAGAATACCTCACAATGGAATAGAAGCTTTTGGTGAACACATACAATCTCGAACTCTTGAATGTTAAATAAACCATGATATTCCGTAGTACATCATTGAATTTTATACACAATTGGAAGAGTAGAAGAGTGGGCAAGCCGTCGCAACTAAGAACTCAATAGTTGCGTAACATACGTCATGAACTGATTGACTTGGAAATTTTAAAGATACTCGCAACAACTTGCCTCTATATCTTTATGTGCTCCAGCAATTTTGCAAATTTTGCCGAATATATTTTTTAATATAGCGGCTTGGCGACCTTGGGAACCGTCCAACGTTATGGTGGGTATAAAAGTGACAGTCGGTCATAAGGCGTGAGTGACGGCACCATTCAATTTCAACAAATTCACCTCCACGAGGGCTGTCAAAACATCTTTATATAAGGTCCCCGTTTCCAAGTAAAAAATTTGCGGCACCACCTTGATGACTGTGAATATAACAATTAAAGAAGTGGCGGTTAGCAAGGTTTAGCGGGCCTCTGATAAAGTGTTTCTTATTGCCAAAGCAAACGACATTGCTCCTCGTAGCCCAAGTGGATGAATTGATCTATCTGAAATAAAATAGAAGTAATTAAATAAATTATAAATAGGAATAAGTAAGGGTAAATGCAAACTTATTTTTGGCATGTAGCGAATTTTCATCTTTATCAATATGAGGCGGCGAGGCGGCGACAAGAGAGCTGCACTTTACGGAGGCGGCGAGGCAGCGACCAGAAAGCTGCACTTTTAAAATGAAGACACGTTTTTTACGATTTTTTGCACCCAGTGCCTCCCTGAAGAAGGCAACCCGTGCTAGTATTGTTGCCTGGAGGCGCTTGCCGATGTCCCGTTTCACCATATGTTTCATCATCACGGCCTTGTATATGCTGCAGGCGTTATGAAATGCGTCATATACTTCCGGCTTTGCAAACTCTGGTTCCAGATATTAGTGGGTTTCGCTGGGTAAGTCTCTTGCGTCATTTGCGTCTTGTATTCTTTTCGTAAAGTCTTTTAAACATGCTTGGCAACGCAGCTACCTGCGTACGTACTGAACTAGTACGTAACCCGTGAGTAGCCAGATGTACTCCTCCTCGTGGTTTGTTAGTTGACGAGGGAATATAGCGTTGAATGTCACACCATCTAGGCAAAATGGGCGAAAACCTTCATCGGTCTGGTCTTGGTCTTCCGTGCTGCATTCCACCAATTTTACAACATGGTAATTGATTGCGGTCGATCGTCCGCTTCCCCAAAATTCCATTTGCAATTGAATTAGGCGTTTGACAAAGTTGATTATATGTAACGCTGGTCTGGTCTTCTTTTGCCCTCTAGCGCTATTTTGCAAAAGAAATATTCCAGTAAGTCCCGGCTTGTCCTGTAGGAATGGATCGTTTCGTCGGGGTAGTCCTCCAGCAGCGTATTCATTAATGCAGTATAATTGTTGATTGTTTGGACGATGTCACTCGCTAGCTGGTCAGCTACAAAGGCGGTGCTGAAATATTCTCCGACTTCTTCTAGCACCGCTCTTTGGGCCTGCCAATTGGTTTTGTTGATTTCGCCGTCATGGAAGATTGCGTTTAATTTGGTCGTGGCGGCGTAGAGTTCGTACGTCCGAACTTCTACCTCAATGCCGATGATTCCTTGCTTAATTTTCAGTTCTAGCTTTGCTGACATAGCCGGTGCGAAAAATTGGGCTGCTTCTGTCGTAGTTCTGGCTGAGGTAATTAGTAAGTTTGCGCCTCTCCTCTTCCAATGCTCCCAGGTGGCCGAAAATAAGCGTCCAATTTGTTTACATTTGTTGAATAATTATTCAAGTATTTGTATAAAAATTTGGCCACATACGAGAATAAGCGTATAAAAATTTGGCCACATACGAAAGTAAGCGTATAAAACTGAAAATGATTCTCAATAATTCAACAGGTGGTTGCGTGCATGTGAGAATTCGCTTGTCATGGCATACCTGATGATCGATGTCTAGGGGATGGCGACATTGTTAATGTTGATATTAGTGCCTATTATGGTGGCTATCACGGAGATTGTTCGAAAACTTTTTTAGTGGGTAATGTTAATGAAGAGGGTTGTTATTTGGTGAAAAGCACCGCAGAGTGCTTGAATGAATGCATAAGCTTATGCCGGCCTAATGTAGAATTTAATGCTATAGACAACTACATTAACAAATTTTGCAAAGAAAAAGGTTTAAATGTCATTGCCGCATTTATAGGACACGGAATAGGTACTTTGGGCTTAGCAATTCGTGATACATTATCGGGAAAATCCAATGATTTCGCCACTTGGATGCCGTGGTTCCTAATCGCCGTAACAATCACATTCATTGCGATTCAAATGAATTATCTTTGGTAATAGCAGCATCAGCAATTCTGTTTAAGGAATTCGTCCATATGCGTTTAAATGGTATACTGGGTGACGTATGCGGATTTCTAGTAGTTATATGTGCTGAATTCATGTTAAATGCTTCTAAAGACCTAGACATCACACTTAACGACGTGCGTAGCATAATGCGTCCAAAAATGTAGAAAATCAATCAATGCGATGCAGAAATTTTAGTTACTCAAAATTTAAAAGAAGCACGATACTCGTATGGATCGAGTGATATGTATCGCAAGGCTTGACAAAAGCAGCGTTATCAAGTTTTCTTTCAAAACTAAATAGGAGTCTTTTTTTTGGCTATTATATACGTTTAGAGATTTTCTACATATACTCCAAAATTGAATGACATATTTTATTACACATACTGGAAGCAATCACTCAATGCAATCACTCAATGTAAATGTAGTTCTAAGC